GGTGAAGGGGTGCATGCGTGCGAGGAAGCCGAAAGGTGGAAGACCATCGTGGAAACCTTGAATCAATCCGCCGATATCCTCGCCCTTTTCGATGAAGCCGAAGGGGGCGCCGAACCCAATTTCGCTGATAATGTCGTAGGCCATATAACTACCTAGAGGGTTAGTGATTGCGTTCGTATTCGTGGATGGACTCGGCCATAAAGTATGTGGAAAGTTCTGGATAACTTACACTGCCCACCAGGCAAAGTCAAAGGGCTCGCCGGTCTTGACAAAAGTCTCGTCAAGCTTGTTGCTCCATTCAAGTATGCGCGCATCGATCAATGGCTCCATTTTCTTAATGTTGGTGAAGCTGTACTACACTCGCGTATTATTAGCCTCGACCAATTCCAGCGGCAACTGGTTAGCTCTGATCCACATACAGGCCCCGCAATGTGTTTTCTAAAGAGCGCATGCGTCTTATGGGATCTCATATTGAACAGACTCTCCGTCTCGCCAAAGCTACCAGTGATATAATGGCCGGTCTTATCGGCATTGCGATGGTAGATTTCGGGGAGCTTGGAGTGATCGCTGACCAGCAGCAGGGTAGGGGTAATGCGAACGACGGGGCCTAATTCCATCGTCAGTCAATGGGATATGCGACAGCCGAACAGCTCGTGGAGGCCTACCATATTTCTTCGACAGATCATAGACGGTCAAGTATTCGGTTTCCTGGAGGTTCTGCTTCGCGATCCACAGTCTGGTAACCGATGCCCAGAAAGGACCGGGGAATGCCGACAGCGGATGGAAGAAGCGATAGTGTACGATCTGGTAGACGAATTTCAGAACGATATAGGCGATGAGAGACAAAAATACATTTGTAACTGTCACCAGTGACAGCGCATGCTCTGCAAGACCCATTATGCTGGAATGGAATCAAATGCCAGCATCTGAGAGGGGGAGATATTCACAGGAAGGAAGAAAAGCTCCATTCACAATAAAAGATCAATAAAGGAACCGAGGAGCTACTGTGTTCTCCAAGTGTAATCCCCCTCTCGCCCGCCCCTCTTTTTCGATCTAACGGCCATTGATTGAGTGATTGAATAGTAAATTGCAAACGATCATTGGCTCCTGTGCTGACCGTGTTTGTCCCACATGCGATAGCGAGCCAATAGCTCTGCGAGATACATGTCTTTAGCTTGAACAGGTCTGGGCTTCACACTAAAGTACTAGGTCTAAACGGCGCACTTGGTTTGCTGGATGAGCCTCCCCTTCTTTCTTTCCTCTTGCACTATGGTGCTCTAGTCTGGACGCTAGATGCTCTGGTCCTGCAAAGAGGTGGAGATACCATTCCGTCGTGACTAGTTCATGAACCGAGCCTTACTCAGTGTGAATAGTGTGTCTCGATGCGACTCAGCTCAGCATGAATAATGTAAGGCATGGGCCATTGTCTTTCTCCGCCTGTTGGAGGAGACAAACGATCATTTTCTGTCTTGGGAGAAAGACTGGAGAAGCCCGTGCTGTCAAGGATCAAAGTGGACTAGACAGAATGGCGGGAGGAAAACAATTAACGAATCACACCAGTGATTTGATTCAGTCCCTATTGTCCCCCCGACACCGTTGGCAAAAAGAAAGCCATTGTCCACGACGCCGATCAGCAGCTTATTTTCCAAGAACGAGCAGGCATACGACAGGGATTATGTGTTCCTCCTCCCCGTGGTGTCCTTAGCATGCGGGGCTTGAGGCGGGCCTACTTTTAGGGTACAGTACGGACGTACAGGAGCACTACACTCTAGGACTAATTCCTCCTTAATCCCACTTTAGTATCAGGCTAGGGCTTTAGTGGAGCTTGACACCGACTGTCCCGTGGCGGTATCCACCAAGTTTGAGCACGTCTCACGTGGTTCAGGGTGACTTTGTATCTAAGTTCAGTAGTTAGACACGCAAATGAAGGGCAGTCTTCGGGTTCAAATGAGAGGAGTCCATATCCAGAGGCAACTGTTGGACAGAACTATCCCGTAGAGCGATGGCCGTCGATCATGCATGTGTTCAACGGGCTTGAATTACGTTTAAGTAATGATACTAGTGCAATAAACTCATTTTTCTTCACGGAGGAATGGTGTCCGGAGCATCTAGTAAGTACATCAGGCTAGAGCGGACTGAAAAGAACGGCAGTGTTGTGCCTTATAAAGACGATCATCATTTAGCGTAAATGATATGGCAAGAACTTGTCTGTTAAACCATTCTCAAACACGAGAACAAGAAGCTACGGTCTAATACTTACTCTAGAAGTAATCCGTTGTAGTGGGAAAGATAGGTGGTCGAGGTTATTCCTCCACCGTTGGCCCCTTCTTGTCGCCACCACTCACTCAGCCTGTCATCGAGAAAAAGATTATCCGGAGATCAGACTATGCTCAATTATCTCAAAGTAAGAATGTCTCGTTTGCAGGCATCCCCTATTATCGATTCATACCACATTATTCCGGGATTTTGCTGTGATAGCAAGGTCGATGATTCGTCCCGTCATTACCGGGCTTTTACTTGGCGAGTGCAGATCATAACGGGAACGGACGGTCCAGGAGTTCCGCGCCGCTCTACCGAGGGCCACATTAATCAAGTAATTCTGACAATTCGGGGCCAGCAAAAGCGGTTTTCGAGACTGGAGGAGATCTGAGCGTCCGCGGTTGCTGCCGCGGAGCACTTCCGACGATGGAGATGGGGATATCCGAGCCATTGGGATTCCCGAAGGTGAATTTTTTGAAACTTAGAAAATCCTAACTATTGAGCTCGCAAGATTTTCATGAAAATTATGATAGCTATTATTGCTGTCACTTGGCGCTTCACATGCCGCCAAGTTGACATAGACATGGATCGTCGAGCTCGCTATTATATGCTACGAATCACAGCTCCTTTCTTCCAGCTGATCAAAGATCCCAGGAAACTGGAAGGATTCATCCTTGGCACGCTCATCTCGCTTAACTGTAACGTGGTGGGAATGGCGACTATTGGGTGACCCACCCCCTTCTCCAGCAGCCTCCCCCACCTGGAGGACGGCTCGGAAGGGGACGACGGATCCGCCTGCAGATCTCAAGCTTGTTACAGTAGTTAGGGAGGCTTACTCAAGTGGGAGAAAGAGGAAGGCATTAGCGGGAGAAACCCGAAGGCCAAATGTCTGGTGGCTTTCTTTCGCGCTGGTCCGTCCGGCACATCGCGAGTGGCAGCGATCGAGGCGCCACATAATGAAACGCCGGTGCACGCAGATCCATCGACCCCCTCATAAGATCATGTTCTGGCCGCCGCGTTGAAAGAGTAATGTGCAAGAGCAAAGAAAAGACGGTAGGGAAGGAGAAGAAAGGCAAGGAGCAAGATGAGTCACAAAGGGACAGGTTTTAGAGCCCATATAAAGCGTAACTAGCATTAAACTCGTCCTAAGGTGCTGTCAGTTGAAGTTTAGTTTTTTGAGTGGTTAAATCTTAATTTATTATTGCTCATTTTCCTGGTTGTGATTGGATCTGTTTCCGAGCCAATAACCTTGTCTCGGAAAGAGTTAGTAGATTCTCCTCGAGATGCCTTTATTATTAGCTCATTCAAATCGAATCCTATGTGTATGGGCAATAGGTCTGACAACCTTTTTTTAACTAATTAGGATCACCATCAGTATCCAAGAATTCAGACGATGGAATCCCTCCGAAAATAACACCATCCACATCAAACGCTGATTGGTAGCTTTCCCCATCCTTAGAGTCAGCCGGACGCCCTCCACTCGCGCTTTGGTGATTTCTGTACCCTCATTTCTGCTATTACTATTATCAACAATGATCCGATGTTTGAAATGGACTGCGCGGGAAGTCAAAGTGATTCAGAAGATAGAGATGGATATTCTAGCCGGGAGTTAGTAGTCCACCAAACAAAGCCTATGTGCGCTACCCGGCAGTTCCTCGGCACGAAAAATGGCTAATAGAGTGTCGAAAGTACTCCGTACAAAGTATATATACGCCTCAATCGGGAAGATACGAGAAGAAGATACGAGACGGCGTTGAGCTATCCCTACCATTTCCCCACTCCTTTTTCGTACTAGTGCTAGGACCAACATTGGCCCCGGCCCCCAATGGTTCTCCCTTCCCAGCAAGTGGAGTTACAACCTACACCCGCGCCTCTCAGTCCTGGTAAACCATATGCCCATCCCCTTTGACCCGGCACAATGGGCAATGGCTGATAGTATCAGTCTCTAGGAGCCGCCGAAAGTAAGGAAAGTGGGCCATAGAGCCCAGAAACTGGACATGAGAAGACTGACTTTCGTAGAGTTCTCTGGCTGTCGGGACGGGGAGACACGGGTTCTCCCTGGCATCTCCTGGACGTCTGAAACGGCAAATAGAAGCCCGTAGATCACACTCTGAAATCGAATTCCTCGATACTCGGCTCGTTATCTACATATGTGCGGAGCCGCTATGGAAAATCGTAGACAGGGAGATCCGGTGGCAAAGCGGGCGGACATTAGTACCTCGTTGATCGGCAGCTCTGATGCTTTCTGTGTTTCAACGTGTCGTCTGGCTCCGACAACCCAGCGTCGACATCTTGTCTACTTCCGATCCATAGTCTCTTGCTAATCCCCACCCACGCTGCTATTGGGAGATACCTGGTGGATCTAGAAGTTGCGAGGAACATGCACCAGGCGCACACTAGCAGCGTGGGCTTGTCTCTAGACTCAGGCTAAAGGGGGGATTTACAGTCTGGTGTAGCTTTTTTTTCCCTTTTTTAAGTTTTCATCTCAGGCCGAGAACAATCCGGCGTACTCTGGGGTAGTTGGTGCTTTGTTTTTCTTCGATCATATCCCATTCTTCGGATATACGTCCGGGTTTTACTTTCATTTTTCTCAGTCCCAGTGTTGACTTTCAAGGAAGAGGAAGAGGAGGATTCATTGCATGCATATCTTGATTCTGCCTACTCACCGAAAAGTCAATTGATTGGACTTTCTCGTCGTCGGTTTCTCAACCCATTCACTCGTTCATCAACTTTCTTTCGCCATGGGTATTTCGGGCGACCATGGATCTCAGGGTCCAACGGTCGTGGGTATCTGTCTGGCCTTTGCGGTCCTGACCTTTGTCGTCCTAGCGCTGAGACTCTTTGCGCGCATCTACGTTCTGGGAAAGATGGGTCTCGATGACTGTGAGTATACTTCATCAGTCTTCCTAGGGCGTTTACTAATCCCTTGATAGACCTCATCATTGGAGCTTGCGTACGAAAAACAACTTCTTGATTAATATAAATGGTACAGCTGACAGAAATAATAGTGCTTAGCTTGGGCGTTTATCGCTGCCACTATCATCGGTACGTACTGACCTCTAGACCCTTTTACAGAATATAAAAACTGATCTAGTTATAGCCGTTGAAAAAGGACTCGGACAACACTATAAGTATACTGACAAAACCAAGCTTGTTGACTATTCATTTGTATGTTTGGATTCGCGAAGCCCTTGCCTTGTCCATATCTAACGTATCCCCCAGGTCGTATGGTTGAGCTCAATGTTCTACCTCGCATGTCTCGGCTTCGTCAAAACATCAGTGCTATGGTTCTACACTCGCCTGGGAGACCGCTATCTCACTCGTATTTCATACATAATGATGGGAGTCATTATTTGCCAGGCCACTTCCTTCGTTCTCGTTGCGGCTTTCCAGTGCCAACCGATCAGCAAGGCCTGGACCGGCGCTGCAGGCGGAAAATGCGTTAACATCAACATCTTCTACCTCGCCAACGCTGCTCTGAACATCTTGACCGACCTTCTCACCTATACCCTCCCTATCAGAGTCATCTTCAAACTACAAATGCCCCAAAAGCAAAAGATCGCCCTCATTTTCATTCTCTGTCTGGGTCTCTTGTGAGTAACATTCCTCTCAACATCCCATACCATCTCCCGAAGAACACAGATCAGAGCGATATATAAGCTAACAATGTACCTCTTCTAGTGCCTGCGTCTCCTCCATCATCCGAATCACCTACATTCCTACTATGCTCACTTCGGCCGACTATACCTACGCCATTAGCGGCGCAATGTACTGGTCCGTCATCGAGACCAACATCGGCATCTTCGCCGCCTCAATCCCCTCCTTCAAAGCCATCGCCTCACGCTTCCTGCCCCGCTTCATCGGCGAATACAGCAGCGGCCGCAAGTACGGCCCTTGGTCTGGTACTCCTGACGCACGCCGCTACGGCACCGGCTTCACCAAGGTCACCGATCCGAACAACATAACCATGGGTACTATTAACGGCCGGGATGATATGACGATGGGTACGCAGATCGGAGCTACTATGGCTGATAACTCAAGTGAAGAGCGGATTATCGTTCCTGATGGAAAGATCTTTACGCACACGGAGATTGAGACGACTGTTGAGTCCAATCATGAGTATCGTCCGTCGATGGAGCAGGCTCATCGACCAAAGGGAAGCATTTAATTGGAATAGATGGGGCTATGTGGTTATTGTATTTTAATAATTTCCTTTCTATACTTTCCTTACTTACACTTCTCGGTCCAGCGAGTTTTTTTTTTGTCAATGTTCCTCGTTGTGTCCTAAAGATGTCGGGGGTTTATGGATTCATTCACGATTTTAGATATGCTGTGAGCTCGACTCTTCTTTTGCTTAGGTACAAACCTGTTTCGCTCATTCAATGAGAGCTCTTCATGATCCAGCCACTTATTCAAAGTCGATCGCATTAACGACAACCGCCTGCCAACATCGCGCTGATGGCGCATTGGCCCATCCAAGACTTCCCTCTCATCTTTTATTTCCACATCCACACTCAGTCAACTGGCATACAAAAAAATGAATTCTTCCTGGTATCACCAGAGCTTGCATAACACCCCAGATCACAATGACATTCTTGATCCGCGCAATTTCTTTGAGCTTCGTGTGCTCCCCAGTTGCTGACTCGATGATCCTTCCGTAAACCGGGATTCAGTGAGCTTGCAGAATTTCCACGATTTTTTCAGCATAAGACACACCCGGCATCTCCTTCAATTACTTCGCATCCCTTGACGAACTTGTGGGACAAGGGGAAATCCTCTCCTCGCATTTCATCTAAAGCTGAACAACACGCCGCTTCTGCGTTCCCATTCCTCTGATATGTTCGGCCGGAATTGGATCGACCAATGTCCCTGCTGGCCACACGTCTAGCGAGTAATGACCATGTCCATGCTTTAAGTCGACGGTGTCACTTGCGGAGTGGCTGATGATGGCCGACTTTCAGGTCGCTCTCATATTCACAAAGCAAGAGTTGGTCCTACTGTACTGGCCTCTCGGCCAATAATCATTTGTAAACCCGTGTCATTCGATCCCTGTGCGCGTTTCTGGCAAGTCATCTCATATTCTGAGTCAGAAAATGAACCAGATACTTCCAGGTTCTTCACATTTCATGGCTCCCATGAGGATCTGTTACTTCAAGTCACTCTTTCCTTCATGCTATGATTCAACATGATCATTTACCTCTGCCGTGCGCTTCCAAAAGAGACCAGGTAGACCATTACAATCCACATATCTGCAGCCTGCGCTATCTTAAATGTTCGAGTTTAAGACTTCAGAGTCAGCAATATATACTCTCTGTCTTAGTACTAGACCGACTTCCATCTCTTAAATCTACCTAGAACGGATTTACGGCGAGACTAAAAGTTTTCCTCTTATGTAGTATATAGTCTCCTCAATATGCATCTGTGTCTGATGCCCATCCACTGTAGGATCCTGTTACTTTTCTCGGGGCATGGTGCTAATCTCTGGCTCACTAAACTATTAATGAAACTTTGTGCTTGCATACAATATAACATCGGTGGTTGAATATTCATGCGTCTTCGTCAGAAGGCTATATCTTTCGTAGAATACCCTGGCGGCAGGACATTCTCTCACGTAGGGAAACGCCTATATTGACCTTCCACGGGCTAGAGAGGAAACCTCCGAGGTGTCAAAATATACGTATCGAAATAAGAATATGTGCCTAAGCAGTGCACTTTTCTCTTTCTGACGGGTAGTAGTATCTGGCTTACACAAAACCAGCCAATCCCATAATCAGATCTCTCCATCAAACCTTCGCTCAGACCAGCCTACATCTACATGTTCCACATATCAAGGTTACTTCTTACTTCTGACATGCATCAAGCCTCATATTGGTCCACCTCTCCTCGAAATCACCTCATGTGTAACCAGCCGTGTAACACAAACACCTGCACCCATGAAAAGACCGGCGAACAAGTCCGCAGCAAGGCCGCAGGCCACGCGCACGACTCGTCAAATGTTTCAGCCAAAATATGATAGAACCTAGTCGATTCCCAGTAAGGGAAGTCCAGCCCCCATTCACCCCCCCCCCCCAACATAGTGGGCCCCGAAGAGGACCCCTAGCAATGCCAGCCAAAACAGCCCTACAACTACAGCCCTACAACTACAGCCCTATCAAATAACCGCAATGACCTTCCACCGGTCAGTCAACTCGGCTGACAGCCGTGATTGGATTGCGCTAGATTTTCGTACGATCCAATCTTGTCTCAGATCTGGGTTGGACACGCAATGACCGGGTGGCCAGTCCGTCGAATGGACCGTGCTGAGTAGTAGGGACGGGGATTGAACAAGGCAGCCGTCTAGACAAGCGTGAAAGTGGACCTTTCACTTTTCAACGGTATGCAAAGGCCACGTGCGAGGGTTAGGACGTGCTTGGGGCTGTGCTGTCGAGACAAGTCTCATACCGGGGGTTCAGATCTACAGCAGTAGTAGGCTAGTCGCGTATTGAAGATCGTATCGTTGACCGTCTTCGAATATCAAGAGTATACGAACCAGCCGAGTATAGGCAACCAGCATTCCTCTACTTCCCCCCTTGCATGGACATAACGGGCAAGTCGTTCCAACACCGTTCCAGAAGCTAATCGAAATTTTCAATCTGGCTCGAAAAAGTAATCAAATATCATTTCCTTGGGATTGCTAAGCCAGCCCGTTGCGCATAATCCAAAGTATACTACTCACGGGCACCCTCGTACATCCATCGGAATCAACCGGGAACGCGCAGAACCTGTGAATTCCACGAATCAACCATCTCCTCGGAACAAACAAATTCCCCAACGAGTAGCTATCAAGTCGCATTGACAATGAAATCTGACCAAACAAAATTCTATCAGATGCAACCTAAAAGACACCCATGCAAAGAGAAAAAATTTTTCAAATGCAGCTATACTTAGATAGGATGCCAGAAGGGCGGAGAATCCCGGTGCCGGAATGTCGGCACGCTAGAAGGCTTCCAGAAGGCCCTAGCGTGGCTTGTGTATGCAAGTCGCATGCACGAGAATCCCAAAAAGAGTATGGAAAACGTGTCACATCCTTACCATACGACGCACTAGCCTCGATACGCCACGGTGTATCCGCGTAATACGGTACGTTTTCACCCTGGACACGATGTGGCTGAGCCCTGCGAAGGTCCCTGCGCCAATCATTTGCAAGTGAAAATTTTTTATCCTGCATTAGCGCTTTAGGGCTGGTTTCTAATTCTGCTCTGCAGAGTTCGTTCGCTCTTACTCTCTCCCTTTCGGACCGGAAAATCGGGTGATTAAAGTGCTGACAGCTTATTGAGACCGGGTTACCAATGCCGTGGAAAAAAATTTTCTCTCGGGGCTTGAAGGTTGTTACCGATTAAGAAGGTTGGCGTTATGCAGTGCATCCCACCGACGTACGGAGTGCCCCGGTACAGTGACATGCTATTGTGTGTATAGTTGTGTGTGTAGGCCCAGTCCATGACCAGTACATTGCGCATATGTTTTGGATTTGTTATGGGCTGAAGGGTGGGCCGACCATAACTCGGGCTTTGCCACTTCCCCAGACTAAAGGCACGTTCTGGCTCTCGGATCTCGCAAGCCATAACCGTCTCTAGCGAGGTTGAATTCCTGGGAAGTGCAGAGCCGCCAAGAGGGGGGTCAGGGAACGGACCAGACCACGATCTTCGCAATAGAAGTTGGTACGGGGGGATCTAAGCGAGGACGAAAATTAACACGAATCAAGTAACTCAAATTAGGCAATAGAATCTACTCGGGCCAGACCTGGGCCGGTATGAAAATGGGATTTACACGGCACCCCGGACCCGAACCTGAGCAGATCGCCCCGATCGTGGCCCCGTCAGCGCTAAAGCCGACCGTAGACTTTTCACTCGGAAAAACGTCGGATTTTAGGTCTAGTCTGAGACTCGGTCTCGGTCGAGAGGAACGAGATTCTTCGCGAGATGCCTCCTCGCTTACACACCTTGAGATCGTTGATCTCGTATCACATGGCTGATTATGGGGTTATCGGGGCTATCGTCGTAGCCTGGAGATCTGAAATATCTCCGGCGTGCATCTCGCCACCCAGATGCCAGCTGCCAGATGCTAGCTGCTGCTGCTAACTATCCACTCTAGTAGTGAATTAGGCGACCGGCCATGTGAATTCCCCCGGTCGGAAAACACATCCCCGATCGGATAGAGTAAACATTTGTAAAATAATCCAGGTACACCTAAGAGTTCGTTGGCACAAGCCACTGCAGCCCTGAGTATTGTAGGGCCGTATGGCTGTACGGCTGTCGCGCTGCAATACGACTGGGCGCCAGGGCATGACAGCCCCAGCCCTTTTCGGGCGCTAAGATCCTACTGTAACCCGCGCTGAATATGGGCGAACGCTTGAACCCTTGCAACCCTCAGCAGACAAGGTCTGCGCTAGCAGGACAAGCTGCCCATCGATCGGCAGGTCGCCGAACGTGGGTAAAGATTTAGGAATTCAGTTTACTTGATTTTATTTCAATTTTATACTCTCCTCTTTAATGGCTTTGTTCTCATCAGCCCCCAACGAACAATACCACACTAGTTGTAGACTAGATTAAGAATTCTGAGTCAACGTTCCAGACTGACACATAGTCATGCTTGATTTCTTGCGTTTCTTACTCATTCTTAGTAGGTAATCATGTGGGAGTCATCGCTAGGTATATGGAGTAATCATTACTAGACTAGTCGTAGATCCCCAGTCAACAGACTAGCTGGACCAGCACTATACAACCACTATCAGACCACGGGCCATGTGACCCGATCCTAGGGTAATCACGCTGGCCACAACATACGCAAAGCAAGAAAATCATACCGGGCGAAGCATGGTCGTGTAAACAGACAACGACCATTCGCACATTTTGCCTACTCCAGCTCCACGCCGGATCCGAAGAGACCAAGGAAGAGTGACCAGGCTCCTACGATACCAACGGAGGTGCCAGCATCGAGTGAGTCAGTGAACTTGACTGAATGGCTAGCTCGTTAATCCAAACTAACTAGTTTGTCGAACGCAGTGGACATGAACCAGTCAACCCACCGGTCAGCTGATGCTCATACCACGGCCGAGTCAGCTGATCCCCGCATTTCAACGATGGTCTTGGCATGCTGTTTGGGCCTCGGATGGACCATACGCTGGTTGAA